GCAGAGGGTCACAGACAGCAATGTACTAATGAGCTGCAAAGAAAAATACAAACATGATGTCACATCTGCCTGCAGCAGTATAGGTTAGGGTGGTGAAGGTACTAATGTGTTTTTAGGCCAGCAGAGGGCACTCCCACCCTCTGCATCTCTAAAGATGAGACTGATGCCTATCAGATTTTTTGTTTTGTTTTAATTTTCTAGTTTCACAGTGAGCAGAAGCACATTCAGGCCATGAGATCAATGTTAACCCCTTAAAATCCCAGGCTTATTATGTACTATTTTTCAGTAAATTCAAGGATTTCAATGCAAACTGGTTGAGCAATTTTAGATTATAGCGTGTAATAAAACTTTGGGCCCCCAGTGGGTCCAGGCCATGTGAAAGGTTGAGGCATGCTCACACCAAGTCTGATTTTTATAGATGAAACACACATAAGTTTTGAAAATGAACACATGTATTGTAATGCTGTCTTTCATATTGAGTCGGAAACAGATGGACTGAAACACTATGTTGTGTTTTTTTTTTTTTTTGGATTTTACCCAATTTTCTCCCCAATTTAGTTGTCTCCAATTCCACCCGTTAGTTAAGACTCCCCCAATCACGCGATACTATCAACGTTAGGAGGGTGACGGCTAACACAGGCTTCCTCCGAGACCTGTGAAGCGTCACCGCTTCTTTTCGACCTGCCTCTCACGCAACGTCATTGGACAGTTTAACGCGCTCGGAGGAAAACGCCAACCGCCAGATCTGTTACGTCAGCTAACAGACGCTTGCGCTGACTAGCATCACGTTAGGTGATGGGGGGAGAAGGAGGGGCCATCTTACCCACCCAGAAAGAGCGAGGCCAATTGTGCTCTCTTGGACTCCCGGCTACGGATGGCTGTAGCATCACCAGGGATCGAACTCGCGATCTTCTGATGATAGGGCCAACGCTTAGACGGTTGCGCCACTCGGGAGCCCCTGTTTTTTTGTTTTTTGTTTTTTCTTCGGAGACTGCTTCATTTTTTGCATTGTATGGATGTGTTAACAATCAGGCTGACCAGTTAGAGCTCTGTTGTCATGGTAGCAGCCCAACCAAATGTGTATCAGGATGGTGGCAGAATGTTGACTGTAGCACAGCACAAAAGCTTATATGACAAGCCACATGCTGACTAAAAAAATGCAGAGATTAAATAAAATATATGGTTGACCAAAGCTGAAAGGCTGCATATGGACTAGTTTTAGTTTATCTAGATGGCACTGTAGTCAGTTCATGTCCACAAAGAACCTCAAACTATTTGCTTCCCTCGCTAACCAACCTAGTCTCTATTGCTCTGCACTTGAAGCCATCAACCAGTCCACCTGGTGGTTCACCTCAGTTCCAGATTACCCTCACAAGGGTTGTGAGTTCGATCCTCACACAAGACGAACCCTCTGGTGTGTTACAAGATATTAATCAAGAATGCGGACAACAGCAAAATCCTTGCTACTAATTTCAGTAAAGTCAGCTTTTGGGTGTTGGAAAATAATATAACTCATAATATAAGTCATTTCATCTGACTTGGGGCCATATGTTCTGGACACTCAGATAAAGAGAGGGACCAAAGCTGTTAACCGATCACCATCTGGTGGTAAGTTGAATTAGATGGCAGGGAAGACTGCCAGTCAGACCTAAGCAAATAGTATGGGTGTCCTGGAAATGTCTGGCAGAGGCCCCTGTTCAGAATTATTTTAACTCCCACCTCCAGGAGAACTTTTCTCATGTGCCAGAGAAGGTAGGCATGGATGGTATGAATGGATCCTGTTCAAAACCTCCATTGATTGTTGGTTCTTGTCAGGACAGCTATCCAAGAATCCCCTGGTTGACACTGGTGGTGAGAGAGCCCGTCAAGCTGAACAAGGAGGCCTTCAGGAATGGGTTGTCCCAGAGGACTCGTGACTCAGCAGACATATACCGATGGGCAAAAAAGGCAGCAGTGGTAGTGGTGGCTGAAGCAAAATCCACAACATTGGAGGAATTTGGAGAGGCCATGAAAAAAGACTTTTGGTGGGCTTCAAGAAAGTTCTGAGCAGCTGTATTCAGCAGGAGTGGAGAAACTCTGACTTTGAATGAGGATATTGTTGTTTGGTGGAAGGAGCACTTTGAGGAACTCCTAATCCTGAGAGACCAGCCTCCCTCATGGGAAACAGGGCCAGAGGCTTCTGGGGACTACATTTACCTGGTGGAGGTTGCTGAGGTAGTTGGCAAGCTCCTTGGTGGCAAGGCACCAGGGGTGGATGAGATTTGCCTGGAAATGCTTAAGGCTCTGGATGTTGTGGGGCTGTCAAGGCTCACACACCTCTGCAGTGTTTCGTGGACCTTGGTAACAGTACCCTTTGGACTGGCAGACTGGGGGTGGTGGTCCCAATTTTTAAGAGAAGGTGTGTGCCAATAACTGTGGTATCACACTGCTAAGACTCACTGGCAAAGTTTATGCCAAGGTGCTGGATAGGAGATTCCAACCGATAGTCGAAAAATGCATATTCCATCCTCGCCATGGAACAATGGACCAGCTTTTCACCATGTAGATTGTTTGGGGGCGTGGGAGTTTGCCAACCCAGTCTATGTGTGTTTGTGGACTTGGAAAAGGCTTACAGCTGTGTTTCCCAAGATATTCTGTGGGAAGTCCTGCAGAAGTATGGGTTGCTGGAGCCACTATTCCGGGCCATTGGGATCTGTAATCCTGGAGTGAGAGCTGTGTAGATATACCCACCATTAAGTCAAGCTCATTTAGTGTACATGTTGGACTCTTGTCTCCACTCCTGTTTGTGATGTTCATGGACAGGGTGTCAAGGCATAGCTGAGGTCAGGAGGGCATTATGTGTGGAGGCCGAAGGGTGGTATCTCTGCCTTTAGCGGATGATGTCCTTTTAGCTCCATCGCATGGATGCCTCCAGCATGCACTGGAGCAGTTTGCAGCTAAATGTGAAGCAGTTAGTATGCGGATCAGCACCTCCAAGTCAGAGTCCATGGCCCCAGCCTGGAAAAGGATGACATGCCCATTTCAGGTAATAGAGAGAACCTGTCACAGGTGGAGGAGTTTAAGTATCCCAGGTCTTGTTCACAAGTGAACAGAAGAAAGAGGGATCATGAGATCAGCCACAGGCTGGGACAGGCAGCAGCAGTAATGTGGTCACTGTACTGGACTGTAGTGGTGAAGAGGTAGTTGAGCCATAAGCCAAAGCTCTCTATTTACTGGCCAGTCTACATCCCAACCCTCATCTGTAGTCATGAACTTTGGCTAATGATCAAAAGAATGAGATTTGCAAATACAAGCAGTGCAAATAAGCTTTCTTCACATCAAGGCAGACTACATTCTACTTAAAAGGGTGAGGAGCTCAGTCATCCGGGATGAGCTCAAAGTAGAGCTGCTACTCCTCCACATTGAGAGAAGCCAGTTGAGGTTGTTCGGGCATCTTATTAGGATGCCCCCTGGCTGCCTCCTATTGGAGGTTTACCAGGCATGGCCAACTGGGATGAGACCTTGAGGTCATCCTAGGACCTACTTAGGGTTTATAAATTTAAATAATGAATAATGATCTAGGATCTATGATAATTTGATCAACTGTCCATCAACATCTGCCTTTTGCCTTTTTGTCATGCCCATAATTGAGCTACATGCTAAAAGCAGTTTGAGAAAATTCAATAGGAAATTCAAGATTTAAGTGCACATCTAGTGGGAGATAATTACAATGGCAGAACAATTTATGAGTTCAACAAGCATGTGGTCTCCATGCTACCATCATGGTAGACTGACTTTTTTATTGTTATTGGGAAAGAATAAGTAAGTGTTTCATGTTTAAATGTTTAATCAGAAATAATTCACAATGAAAATCTCACAAGGGCATTGCGAATAAATTTTTAGTGACTGACTAAAACACAAACACCTATAACCTGAAGTTAAATATTAGTATAATGACTTTGAGCTATCTATCCAGACTGAAGACTACAGGAAGGCAGAGTTAAGCATTGTGGGCTTGAAAACTTATCCCAAATCTAGGGGATGTTTAACTCTGTGTAATAGGTCACAATGCATTTGACATGGAATCACAGATAAGCAGTGAAAATCTACTGCTTGGGCTACCTATAAACCAGCCCCTTTTTAGCCAGTTGTCTTATGATCCTTTGGTTACAGAATTGTTCTTGGGGCCACAGAAGTCCAAAATAATAAGTTGCTTATTTACACCAAGTAAAGCAATGTAGATGCCAAAAATGGAACCTTATTTTAAGCGCTTAGTCTTGCTAGCTTATTTATACCAGCCACCCCTGAACTCCACTTCAAAATCTCCTATTGGATCAGAATTTTCTAGAAGAAATGTATTTATTTGTATTTCATTGACAGCTAAATTGTTTATTTTGCTTTACTTGAAATCAGTGAGTGCAAAAAGAACATCAAAATTAGTTCTTTATCTTTAAAATGCTGCAAAATAATCAAAAAAATAAAATTACAAAATCAGTGTATGATCTCTATTGTACAGCTAAATGGCCAAAAGGAAAAGTTCTTATGAATGACCAGGAATTCGGTTTGAAGCAGTGGGAAAACTCTGGGGCAGTGGGGCTCCAGAACCACAACTGAGAAATACTTAAGACTTTTATTACCTTTTGTTAGTGTTCTCCCTACTCCTAACACACCTGATCAGACTAATTAGGTTTTTAACCAACCCAGTGAGTGTGTTAAATCAGGGAAAGCACTAAAATGTGCAGGGGATTGGGCCTCAATTTTAGTACATATGTTTGTGTTTTCTGTCCTCCTAACACACCAGCTGTGCTGAGCTGAAGTGTGTGTTAAAGCAGGGAAAGCAGCATGTGCAGGGCATTGGGCCTCCAGTCAAAAAGGGGCATATTTGTATATTTCTTTCTGTGTCTCATTCTCATTTCCAATTAAGGGGAAATTATGTGTTATTCAGTATCACAAATGTTGTGTGTCTATGCTTGTGTCTGTGACATTATCCTGGTAAGCTGAGACCCATCTGAAAGTAAAACTTATCTGGGAGTTTGTTTGGGAAACAAATTAAGCCTTGAAGATGAGGACTGAAATATTCTACAAGTTACAATATAACAAACTGATTTTCTAAACCATGGATAGAAAATGGCATATATTAGTGGATTCACAGAGGAGTTAATAAGTACTAGCCAGCTAAACACCGCATATATCACTGACACAGATATCAAGCTGTCAGTTGACAGAGAACTTAAGTAAAATGGTATCCAGCAAGCAAGATAAACAAAAATGACAGTGCCTAATTTTTTTGCTGCTTTGGTTTCAGAAGAGCTTGAAACTTCGATACCTTGTTTGTTTGGGGCTGCATTCTTCACAACTCTAATAGCTTTAGCTTGACGTCTTGCCACATTAAAAATGACTGAATACAAGATCAGTATAACAGAGCAAGGGACTACAAATGAAACCACCAGGTCAATAATCACCCAGTAATACGTTATGATCACGATACACTCTCCTTCACATCTAGTGGATATCTGAGATGGAAGAAAATGGTCATTAAAGTACAAACACATTGTGATATAAAACAGACTTAAAGACCAGCCCAGAATTATAAACAAAGAGGTTTTACAAACTGTGACTCTGGTGGAATAAAGCAGAGGGTCACAGACAGCAATGTACCGGTCAGCTGCAATGAAAACCAAACTACAAAGAGATGCTGATGATAAAACAGCATTGATGACTGGAAGAACACAGCATGCCATTTTCCCAAGATACCAACATGAGTCTATAAGTCTCATCATTTTTACTGGCATAAAAATCAGTCCTAAAAGAAGATCCGCCACGGCCAGAGAGAGGATGAGCAGGTTGGTGGGAGTGTGGAGCTGCTTGAAGTGAGAGATGGAGATGATCACCAGCAGGTTCAGAACCACAGTGCACACAGATATACATAAAAGAAAAACGAGCAAAAATATGTTCATAGGTCCTGTATAGATTTCCTTTCTGCAAGATGAGTTGTTGTCAGGAAAGCAGTATTGAACTGTGATGTTTTGTCTGTACTCTGTGTAATTCATCTGAAGTAGATGCAGGTCTGCCAGTTAGAAATGATCTAGTATGTTGTTTAGTAATGCTGACTTGATTTGGTTTGTTGTTTTGCCATGTCTTTTTATAACAAAGTATGAATCCTCCCACTGCTGTATGACTGGATAGTTACTTAACATCATTCCCTCATCTGATATTCAAATAGCCACCAAAGAATGTAATTGTATCTAAGTAAAGGTTATGGGGTGTTTATAATACAAGTCTATAGCAAATGCTATAATTATTGATTTTGCACAAAATATAAGGGATACATAGGTGAATTTATCAGACTGCCATACAGAGGGTGACCAGTTTTGTGTTGTAACATGGTTGTATTGAGATCATTGTTGTTCTAAGATGTTACTGTAACTGACTGTATAATACCTTGTACACTCTGTGAACTGTGTTTTACATAAACAGATACTTAGCACAACTGTGGGCCCCAAAATAACTGCATATAAAGTTTGGTTTGATGTATGAGTGATTGTACACCAATCAGGCATAACATTATGACCACCTCCTTGTTTCTATGCTCATTGTCCATTTTATCAGCTCCACTTACTATATAGGTGCACTTTGTAGTTCTACAGTTACAGACTGTAGTCCATCTGTTTCTCTGCATACTTTGTTAGCCCCCTTTTACCCTGTTCTTCAGTGGTCAGGACCCCCATGGACCCTCACAGAGCAGGTACTGTTTGGGTGGTGGATCTTTCTCAGCACTGCAGAAACACTGACGTGGTGGTCAGTGTACATATGAATCTGTTTCTTGTATCTCCTCAGTGATTTACTGATGCTGAAATATTTAAAATCTTCCAAAATAAAAAACAGCAGAGTTTGGATGAGAGATCCTGATTTCCATTCTTTGCATAGCAAGATGCTGCAGCGCACTGGTTTGAGGTGGAGTAAATGTAGTGGTCTACACATTATGATAATGATTTATATTATAGTATATTATATTATATTATATTATATTACATACATATATACATACATCATCTAAACTGCTTATCCTTCTGGGTCGTGGTGGGGTGTTGGAGCCTATCCCAGCTGTCATTGGGCAGAAGGCAGGATACACCCTGGACAGGTCGCCAGTCCATCGCAGGGCTATATTATATTATATTATATTATATATTATATTATATTATATTATTCTAATTCAGGGGAGCATGTACATGAAACCTCTTTTGTATTGCTGTACCACCTCTGATTGAAGTAAAGGCACAGTCCACTCCCTCTTTATGTGAGCCCTGTCAATGTGGTTGGCTTAATGCAGAGTGAAAATCTCCTGTTAAAGCACAAAGAGAAAACACACTTGACAAAATCTACAGCTTGGTCTAGATGCAAATCAGACAATTATTAGGGAATTTAGATTCTTTTTTTTTTTTTCTTAGAACCTTTTGTTGATGGTATTGTTTTAGGTGTACAGATATCCACAGATATCCATCAGCTACAAGTAATTTATTAACAGCAAGGAAAATAATGTAGATGCCAATTTAATATGTAAACAACCTTGTTTGAAACTTTTTTTCTTTGAAAGTGAAGAAAGGGTTTAGCCCCACTAGCCCATTTACACCACCCACCCTGGAGATTTAATGTGCATTTCATGAACAGCTCTAGTATTTTTTCAAAAGTAATAACAATATGATTTTGTATTTTGCTAAAAAAGCAGGGAGTACAAAGCACATCCACACTTCATGTATTTGAGACAAACCATGCTGTTTATGTACTTTTAAAAGCACCAATTATTGATTGATTATTTATTTCCAAAATGCTGCAAAATAATCATTACAAAAGCAATGTATGAACTGTACATTACCACTAAATCGCTACAGGGAAATAGTTCTTATGAATGTGGAAAAACGCAGTTCAGTTTAAAGCAGTGGCAAACGTTCAGGGCAGTGCTTCTCCAGGATCACAGTTGAATGAAAATCCTTAACTTTTAGTACCTTTGTTAGTGTTTTCCCTGCTCCTAACATACCTGATCTGACTAATCAGATCAGAATCAGACTAATCGGATCAGAGATCACTAAAATGTGCAGGGACATTGGGCCTCCAGAATCAGGATATGTTGTCAGGAAAAGGGACACTTTGCAGGTACCTTTTGTCACAAAGGTACCCAAACAATGCAAATTGACCTCAAAGGTACACAATGATCTAATGGTTCCAATAGCACATCATAACTTTTTTAAGGATGCACAACAGGGCTAGTCTGAAATTAATGTTCAGGAAACAAATGAAAGCTTGAAGATGAGGACTGGAATATTTTACAAGTTACAATATACTTAGATGATTTTCTAAACCATGAATAGAAAATGGCATATATTAGTGGATTCACAGAGGAGTTAAAAAATTGCAGCCAGCCAAACACAATCCACACCATCGATGAAGATGAGACACTTTCAACTGAAAAAGAGCTTAAATAAAATGGGATCCAGCAAGCAAGATAAACAAAAATGACAATTCCTAATTTTTTTGCTGCTTTGCTTTTGGAAGTGTTTGAAACTTTAACCCCATGTTTATGTGAGGCAGCATTTACCACAGCTCTAACAGCTCTAGCTTGACGTCTTGCCACATTAAAAATGATTGAATACAAGGCCAGTATTATAGAGCAAGGGGTTAAAAAGGAAACCAATAAGTCAATCATCACCCAGGAATATTTTAGAACCAGCACACACTCTCCATAACACTTAGTGGATATCTGAGATTGAAGGAGATGATCATTAAAGTATAAATACATGGTGATGTAAAACAGACATAAAGACCAACCTAAAATTATTAACAGTGAGGTTTTACAAACTGTGACTCTAGTGGAGTAAAGCAGAGGGTCACAGACAGCAATGTACTGATCAACTGCAATAAAAATCAGGCTACAGATAGATGCTGATGTTGAGACAAAACCAATCAGTAGATAAACAGAGCATGCCATTTTGCCAAAATGCCAACAGGAGTCTATCAATTGCATGATATTCACAGGCATAACAATCAGTCCCACGAGAAGATCCGCTACAGACAGAGAGAGGATGAGCAGGTTGGTGGGAGTGTGGAGCTGCTTGAAGTGAGAGATGGAGATGATCACCAGCAGGTTCAGAAACACAGTGCACACAGATACACAAGAGAGAAAAATGAATAAAAATATATTCCCAGGGCCTGTTCGCACCTCCTTTCTGCAAGATGAGTTAATGTCAGGAAAGCAGTATTGAACCGTGATGTTTTGCCTATAGTCTCCGTCATCCATCTGAAGTAGATGCAGGTCTTCCAACTGGAAATGATTCATTAAGTTTGCTTCTGTGTCTTATACAAGAGCATGAATCCTCCCATTGACACCTGATTGGCCAGTTTATCCTCATCATCAATAACTCATTTGATAATTAAGGTTTCATCATTATTGGCAATGCTGGTTAGCTGAGAATAGGTCAGGGAGGTGAAGGTGGTTACTTTCAACAAAACTGTGTTAACACATTTATGTACCTAGATTTTGCTTAGATATTCTGTCACATTTGACACTGAAGCAGAAAGTAATAATACATAAAATGTGCAAAAATAAGTAACGTGTGTTTTCTTTAACACATCACTTTTTAGCATTTTTGAACATTAGTGTCATTTTTGCTTGTTTACCTTGCCTTATTGTAGTTGTATACACTCACCAGCCACTATTTTTGGGACACCTGTACACCTGCTTATGAATAGATTTATCAAAACAGCCAATCATGTGACAGCAGTGCAATGCATAAAATCATTTAGACATGAGTCACGAGCTTTAGGTAAAGTTCACATCAAACAACACAATGGGATTAATGCATAACTGCATTATGGCCAATCAAATCATTATGCACTCCTCTAAGCTCTGCCTTAGTTTTTCATCCTTCCAGACGCTGCTTACTAACCACCATTGCCTCATGCCGTCAATTTGCACTTTTTCTGTGTGCCAGTGTTGGGCTGCCAGCTGCAGTCTAAAATTGTGCCTGGGGGAGTAAAACTGACAGTCTGTCTCTGATCGGGTAGAGTATGTTGTTCTTTTCCGATCTATAGCCAAAAACAAATTTTAATTTCACTGTTGTTGTCAGTGGTCTGTGAATTTGGTACTTATAATGCTCTTTACTACAAAAGCTGAAATGGACTTCATCAAAATGTCAAAGCAAATATTTACATGGATGTGTTGAGTCCTCAAAGAAAATACATGAAAACAGTATAATTGACAGATAAATGACAGTATAATTCAGTCTAGGATATTTAGGTTTTGTAGCCTTTTGTGTTGTTTTACCTTGTCTACATCTCAGATGTCTGACACACACAAACACACACACACACACACAAAGACATGCACACACACACACACACAGACCCGGTTTTGACCATGACTTAATTTTTCATCCATTTCCTTTACAAAGCATATATTTCTTGTTTAGTCACAATTAGGAATAACCAATGGATTCTAACTTCCTTGTACTATTTTGATAAATAATAATGGAAAAGTGGGATGTGCGAATGGATATGATGTAATCAAGAACACAGCCTCATCTTCATAAAGTGTGTTTTGACTAATAGATAATGGTATAATCAAATGTAAATAGTAGGCAGTTGGCAGTAATTATTATTTTATGTAATTGAATATGAATGAATAGAACTGAAATGGCTGATGAGGGATGACATGGCATTTTTTAGGAAAAAAACAAGGTGTTTTTCACAGAATGCCAAAGCTAACTGAAGAAACAAAGTGCATGTAAAAGGCACAAAAAAAGGTTACCGTTATAATAGAACTCAGTGAAGTCAGAGTTGCATGTGATGGTAAGACAGATCACGTGAGATGAGGTAATGGGGTTGGTACCTCACCTCAGAGCATTATAAAGTAAAGTTTGATTTTCCTGTTTTTTTAGATGATGCCTGGGCCAATTCAGATTAATGCTTGTGTATCTGCAAAGCCTGAATCATGAATAAAATAATGTTTGCCTTTCTCTGCCAATCCTGGTGTTTGAGACCTTTTATTTTTGAACTTGGAGTTGTTTGTGTTATTTTTCTACGACAACTTTTTAGCCAGTTTTCTCATGAATTTTTCTTGACAGAATTGTTCTTGGGTCCATAGAAGTCCAAAGAAATCGGTCATTTATTTACAGCATGTAAATAAATAGTATAAAGCCTTGCTAGCCTATTTATATCAGCCACCCCTGAGCCACCCCAAAATCTGCTATTGGATCAGTACCTTCTACAAGAATTAGAAAAGGTATTCTAAACTATCAAGATGATTTTGCACTTTATCTGAAAACAGCGCAAAAAGAACATCCACATTTATTTATTTCACAATGTTGCAAAATAATAATTACAAAAGCAGGTTATGATCTCTACAGTACAGCTGCATGGCCACAAGGAATAGTTCTCATGGATAATAGTTCTCATGGATGATCAAGAATTCAGCTCAGTTTTAAACAATGACAGAACTGACAGAAGGCTCCTTACACACCAGATCTAATTTTACAAACCGTTACTGAGCTGAAGTGTGTGTGTTAAAGCAAGGAAAGCACCATAATGTGCAGGGCATTGGGCATCCAGTCAGAAATACTGTCAGAACCTTGCCCTGTCAGAAAAAAAGGGACACTGTGCAAGTACATTTTGCTCACAAAGAGTATACAAATATTCTAAATGTACCCTCAAAGTTACAACTGTGGTCTAGTGGTTACAGCTGTGTACCTTAAATAAGTTTTGAGGCTTTGCTACATTCAGTTTATCAGGGAAAGAGGCATATTTGTACCTTTCCTTCTGTTTGCCATTCTTTGCTTTGCATTTAACGGGAAAATATATTATTATGTGTAGTACAGCATCACGAATGTTGTGCACCCACACTTGTGTCTGTGACATAGTCCTGGTCAGCTAAGACCAGTCTGAAATTAAACCTGTTTGGGAAACAAATTAAGCCTTGAAGATGAGGACTTAAATATTCGACAAGTTACAATATACTTAGCTGATTTTCTGAACCATGGATAGAAAATGGCATATATTAGTGGATTCACAGAGGAGTTAATAAGTACTAGCCAGCCACACACAGTATATATCACTGAGACAGATATCAAGCTGTCAGTTGACAGAGAACTTAAATAAAACGGTATCCAGCAAGCAAGATAAACCAAAATGACAGTGCCTAATTTTTTCGCAGCTTTGGTTTCAGAAGAGTTTGAAACTCTGACTTCTTGTTTGTGTAAAGCAACGTTCAGCACAGCTTTAATAGTTTTAGCTTGACGTCTTGCCACATTAAAAATGATTGAATACAAGATCAGTATAACAGAGCAAGGGAACAGAAATGAAATCACCAGGTCAATGATCACCCAGGAATAATTTAGGACCACTACACACTCTCCATAACACTTAGTGGATATCTGAGATTGAAGGAGATGATCATTGAAGTACAAAGTAATGCAGACATACAACAGACTTAAAGACCAGCCCAGAATAATTAACAAAGTGGTTTTACAAACTGTAACTCTAGAGGAATAAAGCAGAGGGTCACAGACAGCAATGTAGCGATCGACCGCAATGAATACCAGGCTACAGAGAGATGCTGACATTGAGACAAAACTGATCAGTGGATAAATAGAGCATCCTATTTTTCCAAGATACCAACAGGAGTCTACTAATGTCATCATATTCACAGGCATAACAATCAGTCCCACGAGAAAATCTGCCACAGACAGAGAGAGGATGAGCAGGTTGGTTGGAGTGTGGAGCTGCTTAAAGTGAGAGATGGAGATGATCACCAGCAGGTTCAGAAACACGGTGGACACAGATAGAAATGAGAGAAAAATGTACAGCAATACATTCCCAGAGCCTGTTTGAACCTCCTTTTTGCAAGATGAGTTGTTGTCAGGAAAGCAGTATTGAACTGTGATGTTTTGCCTGTAGTCTGTGTTGTCCATCTGAAAAAGATAAGCTCTGCCAAATGGACACCATCAAATAGATCTTTATATCTAAGCTTGAACCCTCCCACTGACATATGATTGGCTCTTTTAGTACATCAATAACTTATCTGACTTTCAAAATGCCCTTATTACTTACATTGCTGGGAGGTGGGGTGTTTATAATAATAGTTTATAGCTAATACACCATTGGCTTGGCACAAGCATAATGTTGCATCTGCTTGCTGGTCATGGCCAGCAGAGGTCTCTGCCCCCTGAAATCTGATTACCTGATTACATCTGTTCATTTCCATGTGTTTGCTGTTCCAGCTTCATTATTCTCCCAGTAAGAGCACTCACTTTGCCCTCTCACATTATGAAGTATTGCCAGTCTATCCTCGCTGCAATTCTAGACCTATTTCTTCTGTCTGGATTCTCCCTTGTTTTTGTACCATACCGCTGTTGTCGGAAGAAAACCTTCCATCAAAAATCTCCATTTTTGACGTTTTGCAGTTTTTGACGTATTTTGAAAATGCCTGTTACCCTTTACATTGTTTGTAAATTTCATGATGAATAGACTAAAAGAAATGACCCAAAATGCCTTGGAAAAATGTCTGGTTCCATTGACTTACATTAAAAGTAAAGTATGTTTTTCCTTCTCCTGTAAAGTTATCATTTTGGAGATATGAGGTTTTCTTCAGACAACAGCGATATGTTGTACAAATAATATACATTCATACATACAGCATTCATAGTCTCAATAAAATAATCTAAGATAAAATACACTAAAATAAAAACAAAATAAAAACTGTGGTGTGTCATACTATGATAGCAGCAGGATAAGTGCATAAAATGCTTAGTAACCTTTTACCGCAAGGGAGCAGTTTAAAAAGGTGCTGTGCTGGGTCTGCCCAAGGAACTTTCGAAGAAGAGCTTCACCTCTTCACCTCTTTGCATTTGATGGTCAGAGATGGTAGGTCCACCTCCTGAACCCAACTACCAACTTTTAACATTCAAGTTATTCACCATGCTCTAGACCAGTAATGCTCTAGCCATGTCCCTGTATGGTGTTTGACCATCATCAGATACCAATTCAAATCAAATGTGTACAATTTGACCCAAGCTGAATCTGACATACAATCACTGATATACTAACAGTATAACAGAAGAGACAAAACACAGCCATGGGGGGCACCAGTTTTGAAAATTCAAAGAGTGGAATCCACCTTGTTCATTTTAACCTGCTTTGTTTTAAAAACAAATTTAAGAATCTGGTAGCACAAGGACATTTCCGATGTAAAATCCTGACCATTTTGGTGAACCAATTATTTTAAAATGATTTAAAACAATCATCATCTAACTTGGGATGCAAAGTTTCTGTGAAAAATGTATATACGCCGGTCAGGCATAACATTCTGACCACCTCCTTGTTTCTATGCTTATTGTCCATTTTATCAGCTCCACTTACTATATAGGTGCACTTTGTAGTTCTACAGTTACAGACTGTAGTCCATCTGTTTCTCTGCATACATTGTTAGCCCCCTTTTACCCTGTTCTTCAGTGGTCAGAACCCCCATGGACCCTCACAGAGCAGGCACTATTTGGGTGGTGGATCATTCTCAGCAGTAACACTGACGTGGTGGTGGTGTGTTAGTGTGTGTTGCGCTGGTACAAGTAGATCAGACACAGCAGTGCTGCTGGAGTTTTTAAACACCTCAGTGTCACTGCTCCACCAACTAAAAATATCCTGTGGGCAGCGTCCTGTGACCACTGAGGAAGGTCTAGAGGATGACCAACACAAACTGTGCAGCAGATGAGCTATCGTCTCTGACTTTACATCTACAAGGTGGACTGACAAGATAGGAGTGTCTAATAGAGTGGACAGTGAGTGGACACAGTGTTTAAAAACTCCAGCAGCACTGCTGGGTCTGATCCACTCGTACCAGTGCAACACACACTAACACACCACCAACACGTCAGTGTTACTGCAGTGCTGAGAATGATCCACCACCCAAATAGTACCTGCTCTGTGAGGGTCCATGGGGGTCCTGACTACTGAAGAACAGGGTAAAAGGGGGCTAACAAAGTATGCAGAGAAACAGATGGACTACAGTCTGTAACTGTGGAACTACTATATAGTAAATGGAGCTGATAAAATGGACAATGAGTGTAAAAACAAGGAGGTGGTCATTATGTTATGCCTGATCGGTGTATTATGTACTGTTTCTGCCAGTTTATCTAAATCGTCATGACGTATATTGAAAGACAGTCCAGTTTTCTTGCTTAAATGGTGATTAAGTTTGTGAGGCCCACTCTTTGACTTATCTGGTGCCCTATTTGATGGTCTTCAGTCTCAGGCAGTATTGCACAGTGAGAAAGATCATTTTATGATCAGACTGTCCCAAGAGACTGCAAGTTACTGTGTGAAATGACTACTCTTGTCTGATATGAATCTGTTACTTGTATCTTGCCTGTGACATAATGATGCTGAAATGGTAAAAATATTCCAAAATAAAAACAGGAGAGCTTGGACGAGAGATCCTGATTTTCTTTATGTTCGTACCAAGATGCAAGTTATAAGTTATGATGAGGGTTACTAATTCAGGTGAGCATGTACATGAAACCTCTTTTGTATTGCTGCACCCGCACAGTCCATGGCCTCTGTGTTGTATATATTCTAATAATGCTTCTATTTCCTATTACCACAATATTTTGTCATGCAACAAAGCCTAGAACCATGTATCTTGTCAGGTAAGACCCTTCTGACTGACATGCAAAAAAGAAAGAAAGGCTCCAATTGTCACCACCAGGGGGCTGTGCAGAATAACATCCCCTCAGTATTGGCCATGCTCAAATGAGGTACTTAGAGATAAGAATGATTGATTAGTTCTGTTTCAATGATCTACTAATTTTTTTTTATCCAGACATTTGTTAATTGGCTTCATTCCAAAGCAACCGAAGAATTACAAAGATTCTTTGGGTTTTCATTTTTTTAGAATAGAGTAGAGGCTTCATTTTTGTTGCTTCTCCTCTGACTTCTGTATTGCCTGTCACACAATTACAGAAAAAAAACCTTTTTAAAAGGTTTATGCCTTATTAAATTCAACTGCCTATGAGTCCAGGGTAGTATCTCTTCTTTCACAATGATCAGGAGATCCACTCAAATTGCAGCTTGTTTGCATTTTTTTTTCCTTTAGAAACTAAATGAGTCTCAATGTAACTATGATAAAGGCAATTGTGAAGAATACTTGTACTGGTTGGAGGCTGCACAACATTTTTATAGATCCAAACACATGACATAGGCTCCAAAAAGTGGCAAAGCCAAAACCCAGGAACATTATTTTTGATTCATACCCAGTAGTACCCAAACGTAGTGTTTATATATATATATATATATATATATATGTATGTATTTACTCATCCATATACATATATATATATATATGTTTATATATATATATATATATATATATATATATGTGTGTGTTCCAATGACTTACATGGCCACAGGTGTATAAAACCAAGCACCTAGGCATGCAGACTGCTTCTACAAACATTTGTGAAAGAATGGGTCGCTCTCAGGAGCTCAGTGAATTCCAGCGTGGTACCTTGATAGGATGCCACCTGTGCAACAAGTCCAGTTGTGAAATTTGCTCGCTACCAAATATTCCACAGCCAACTGTCAGTGGTGTTAAAACAAAGTGGAAGCGATTGGGAACGACAGCAACTCAGCCATGAAGTGGTAGGTCACGTAAAATGACAGAGCAGGGTCAGCGGATGCTGAGGTGCATAGTGCGCAGAGGTCACCAACTTTCTGCAGAGTCAATCGCTACAGACCTCCAAACTTCATGTGGCCTTCAGATTAGCTCAAGAACAGCGTAGAGAGCTTCGTGGAATGGGTTTACATGGCTGAGCAGCTGCATCCAAGCCTTACATCACCAAGCGCAATGCAAAGCGTCGAATGCAGTGTAAAGCACTGCCACTGGACTCTAGAGCAGTGGAGATGTGTTCTCTGGAGTGACGAATCACGCTTCTCCATCTGGCAATCCAATGGATGACTCTGGGTTTGGTGGTTGACAGGAGAACGGTACTTGTCTGACTGCATTGTGCCAAGTGTAAAGTTTGGTGAAGGGGGGATTATGGTGTGGGGTTGTTTTTCAGGAGTTGGGCTCGGCCCCTTAGTTCCAGTGAAAGGAACTCCTAATGCTTCAGCATAACAAGAGATTTTGGACAGTTTCATGCTCTCAACTTTGTGGGAACAGTTTGGGGACGGCCCCTTCCTGTTCCAACATGACTGCACACCAGTGCACAAAGCAAGGTCCATAAAGACATGGATGAGCGGGTTTGGTGTGGAAGAACTTGACTGGCCTGCACCGAGTCCTTTGGGATGATTTAGAGCGGAGACTGTGAGCCAGGCCTGTGGGACAGTGATGCTTGGAGCAAGCACGGGTGGAGTGGCTGGTCAGGACTGAGCGTCTGGGCTCCAGCCAACACAAGCAGCAGACTCACGGGCAACTGTGGCATGGTGGGTGGCAGAGAAAGTGGAGAGCTGCCGAGGGAGCGCCGCTGCTGCTGTCGCTGCCCCTAGTAGTGCATGGATTGATGCCATGAGCTGCGAGGAGATCCACCGCACAGGGGAGGAGGACACAGCACTTACTTTCTATGCTCCAGTGCCATGAGGAAGAGGATATGAACCCATGGGAAGACTGGCAGTGCATGTGGCTGAAAGCATGTTTACTGGGACAGTGGACATTCTGTAACCCCTGCTCAGAGAGACTGCAAGGTGAGGCAGTGTGCCCCCGTGCACACCAGGGACGCTACTCAGATTTTGATTGGACTTTGTGGGGTCGCCGGGATAGCTCCTCTAAAAGGGTGAGCTGTATATGACATGCTACTGGCTATGGACACAGAGGAGGCATGCTCATGCGCAGAGCACCACTGGAAGTGCAGGATTTACAGTAAGAGAGACTTGTAGTTTAACCTGTACATATGTGGTTATAGCAGGCTGGAGGTATCCCACCCCGCTTCACAGCTATTCAGTAGCACTAAGCAGCGGGTCTTCCCTGCTGCTAGGTTCAATAAAAGAGTATTTGTTTGAACTGCTATGTTTCTTGTGTCTTTGTACTCTACATCGACGCCACAATATTTTTTGATACCGGCACCTTGACTACATCTCTATAAGTATCACTCTGCCTCATTCACCCCAGTGTGACTGCACTATGGCCACCAGCAGCTATAAATTGACTGACCAAGCACACTTAATCAGCCGGTCAACTGGTAAAATAGTGCTCCAAATACATCCCATCATCAGCGTCTGGGGTTTTGTTTCACATCATAATCAAGAACTTACATTGAAAAGAAGGGACCATTTGACTGATATGCAAATTGACTGTTGTTTTTGCATGATGTGAAAATCTGAGCATAATGCTATTAAGCAAATAAGGGCCCAGCACATTTGAGGAGAACTTGGTTGAGTATGGAAAATGTACCCACCACCAACATTCAGTGTAAGGGGTCACTATACAGGTAGCAGACAATTTCAGCAGAATTATAGAGCAAGCAGCACAAGATTTAAATGTATTATCTATATATATATATATATATAGCTAGATTACTCAGAGCAATTAAAGCCAAGTAGCTTGACAAGAAGTCACAGTGTGTGAAAAAAAAAAAAAAAAATTCTTAGAGATTTTGTTGACAACTTACCTTTCGTCATAACATTTTCTGACTTTCTAACAGTCTGTTAGCAAAAGGCAATGGGCTCACATACGCACCTCATTAGCGTTGGGCCACAGGCTCATACATGCATTCCATTGCCATCAGGCCACAGGCCCATATATATGCAGTCTGTTAGTGTAGAGCCACAGGCCCATACATGCACTTTGTTAGTAAAGGGTGACGGGCACATACATGCACTTTGTTAGGTTTGTGCCACAGGCCCATACATGCAATCCGTTAGTGTAGGGCAACAGGCCTATATATGTACTTCTGTTAGTGTAGGGCCTTACATGCACACTGTTAACATAAGGCAATGGGCCCATACATGCACTCAGTTAGTAAAGGGCGATGGGCCAATACATGCACTCCATTAGCTTTGGGCCACAGGCCCATACATAGATTCCATTACCATCGGGCCATACATGCACTCTGTCAGCGTAGGGCCGTGGGCCCATACATGCACTCTGTCAGTGTAGGGCCGTGGGCCCATACATGCACTCTGTCAGTGTAGGGCAACAGGCCTATATGTGTCCTTCTGTTAGTGTAGGGCCATATGGCCTTACATGCACACTGTAAGCATAAGGCAGTGGGTCCATGCATGCACTCTGATAACGTAGGGCCATAAATCTATATATGGATTCCATTAGTTTAGGGCCACAGACCCATACGTGCACTCCATTGGTTTATGGCCACAGGCTCATACATAAACTACATTAGTGTAGGGCCATGAGCCACTACATGTACTCCATTAGTACATGGGCCACTGGCCCTTACATGCACACTGTTAGCATAAGGCGATGGGCCCATACATGCACTCCATTAGCAAGGGGCTATGGGCTTATACCTGCACGCCATTAGTTTATGGACACAGGCCCTTACAGGCACCTGGTTAACTCAGGGCCAGGGAACCATACATGCACTCCATTAGATCAGAGCAATGGGCCTATTCATACACTTTTTTTTTCACTTAAGCCAAGAGCCTATTCATTTACTCAGATAGCTCAGAGCCACGTGACCATGCACACATTCTGTTAGCCCAGGGGTACAGGCCAGCATGGTGACAGTGGCAAAAACTCTGAACAAATGGGTTCATTACACTGCAAGGACTGGGTTTATGGAATAGCTGCAGGAGAATGAACTGATAGAACATCTGTATGTCAATAAACAGCACTGTTACATGTATCTATCTTTTAATTTGGGCCTGTATTTGCTTAGTCAAAGATTCACCTTCACCTCAAATGCCCCTAACTGTGTGCCCCTGATTATAAGCACCCTCTTCCAGCATTAAGAAAATGGAACTCAGAATAGATGTATTAAGCAGTTTGGATTCACTGTGAACAGATGAAACATTGAAATGTTTATGTTTTTTTGGTATTTTATGGACATATTTAGGGTTATAAATAATAATAACCAGTTTTTAATGCACTGTGTAAAGCATCAAGTGCACAGTACATCCACACTTTATTAATACAATCAAATGTTTTTGTAAGAAAACACACTATGTGATCATTTCGGTGACTAAATATTTTTCATTTGTGTTGACAAATATTTAGAGCAAAACTGCTACAAATGAATCAGTCAGAAGAACCGTTTAAACTCTGTGGCACTACTAAATGACCACAGCAATAGATTTTAATTAATGTGGAAGAGTTAAGCAGCTAGAGTAAGCATCATGTAAAATATTAATATGTTTGAACAAGACAAGGAATGAAAACATGTAAGAACAAAAAAAATAAAAAAAACGCTATACATGATCCACAGCATCATACCGAAGAAAATATGATATTCAATTTTAGAAAATACATTTTTACAATGCTGTCTAGTTTACTGTATGATACAAACAAAATAATCAGAGTTTCTAGGCATGACAGTGAAGTGGTCTCAGCATTGTCAGCTGAATTGAGCCTCGAGTTAAACGTAAACATGCTCAGATAAATTCTAAACCTTAAGCCTTAGATAAATTAAACCTTGCTGAGGAGGATTCCAATATTCTACAAGTTACAATATATTTAGCTGATTTTCTGAACCATGGATAGAAAATGGCATACATAATTGGATTAATGGAGGAGTTAATGTATATCAGCCAGCTAAACACAGTCCACACCATTGACAGAGATGTCAAGCTTTCAACTGAGAGAGAACTTAAATAGTAAGGTATCCAGCAAGCAAGATAAATGAAAATTAAAGTGCCTAATTTTTTTGCTGCTTTGGTTTCAGAAGCACTTGAATCTTTGGCTTCACATGTGTTTTAAGCAGCACTTATCACAGCTCTAACCGCTTTAGCTTGATGCCTTGCCACATGAAAAATGACTGAATACAAGATCAGTATAATAGAGCAAGGGACTAGAAATGTCACTATTAGGTCAATGATTACCCAAGAATACTTTATGACCAGTACACACTCTCCATAACACCGAGAGGATAACTGAAACTGAAGAAAATAGTCATTAAAGTAGTAATACATGATGATGTAGAATAAGGCAAAAGACCAGCCTAGAATTAAAAACAAGGTGGTTTTACAAACTGTCATTTTAGTAGAATAAAGTAGAGGGTCACAGACAGCAATGTACCGATCAACTGCAATGAAAATCAGGCTACAGAGAGATGCTGTCAATGAGAGATCACTGATTATTGGAAAAATACAGCATGCTATTTGTCCAAGATACCAACAGGAGTCTATCAATTGCATTATATTCACAGGCATAACAAACAGACCCACGAGAAGATCCGCCACAGCCAGAGAGAGAATGAGCAGGTTGGTTGGAGTGTGGAGCTGCTTGAAGTGAGAGATGGAAATGATCACCAGCAGGTTCAGAAACACAGTGCACACAGATACACATGAGAGAAAAAAGAACAAAAATATATAAGCAGGGCCTGTTCGCACCTCCTTTCTGCAAGATGAGTTGTTGTTAGGAAAGCAGTATTGAACTGTGATGTTTCGGCTTTGGTCTGAGTTATTCATCTGGAACAGACACAAATCTGCCAAATGGAACTGATCCAACTGTACTGTTCAGTAATACTGAACTGCATCTCCCTTCTGACATATATATACTTATACTCAAGTATGAACCCTCCTACTGACCTGTGAGCGGCTAATTTGTCATCACATCTTTTACTCATCTAACATTCAAAAATACATTATTACATACAGTGTAATACACAGTGATGCATACAGTACCAGCCATGAATAGGTGAGTGAGTTGTAGGTGTTTATAGTAATACCTGGTAACACTTAACAGTCTACATCACTGTTCACAAGCATATTTATGAAAATTACATTAGCATTAGCAATTCTTAAAAAGGCTTATTTCAACATGTGGTAGTTTTCCTACCAGCTGCATTTATCTTCAGACATGCATTCCTTTAGTGTAAGGCCATGGGCCCATACATGGATTCCATTGCCATCAGGCCATGGGCCCATATCTATGCAGTCCGTTAATGTAGAGCCACAGGCCCAGACATGCACTGTGTTAGTGAAGGGTGACGGGCTCATCCATGCACTCTGTTAGCTTTGTGTCACAGGCTCAAAGCTAACAGCTAACAAAGCTAACAGGCAAAAATCACAACAGGGCTCAACTTATCACTGGTGTTAAAGATCTGTCTAACACTAGGCTTAGCACTTTTCTTGTTAGTAAGATAGCATTTTTGCTTTCCGGTTTGTCTGATAAGTCTTGGGCTACAGCAGTCTGGAGTGCTGTTAAGAATGAATCCTATGAACATAAATCGTTTAACTAAATTCCACCCTCATGTGGGTCACCCTAGTGGTGGACTACTGTTCAAGCTTTGTCATGGTAATCGCCCAGTGGCTGCTTATGCTTTGGACGTCTGCACCATAGAAGTTGGTGGTGTTCGGAACAAGTCTGCTTTGTTAAATGCCTTTTGTAACAGACTTCATTCTGACATGTTAACGTTAATGGCTTGCAGAGATGATAAACTGATGCTAGATTAGCTAATTGCTATGTCAATTTTTCTGGACAAACTTATTCTACGCAAAAAGCCACTACTTAGCTCCAGCTCCAGCTCTGGCTCCAGTTTCAACTCCAGTTCCAGCTCTGGTTCCAGTCCCAGTTTTGGATTCAGCTCCAACTCAAGCTTGAGCTCCAGTTCCAGTTTCAATTCCTGTTGCAGTTCCAGTTCCAGCACATCTCCTGAACCTATGCAATGCGAATCGTCAAGGCTGTCAAAGGAGGAGAGACTTTGATGTCTCCATGGGGGCTTGTGTCTATATTGCGGTGCTACAGGTCATGTGTTGCATGACTGTCAGGCTCTCACACACAAGCATAAGGCACCAACCCCAGGAAAATGCATGGAGGCTACTCCACGTGCTTATGGGATGAGTGTTCCTGCTAAGGGTTTGGTTTCAAAATCTTTCACGTTGCCTGTAACTATTCACTGACAGAATTCTTCTCTTGTTTTACCAGCCTTGATTGACTCAGGAGCTGAAGGAAATTTCATCCCCGTTGAACCTCTATAAACCCCCCTTTGAGTGTCAGCACTGGATGGGGAACCGGTTGGCCTGGAATCTATCACTCAAATCACTCACTCTGTCGTACTACAGACCACCTTTCTACACATTGAAAGAACTACCCTTTTCATTTTAGAATCTCCTTTTGTTTTAGTTCTCCATTGTACTATGTCGTCCCTGGTTAGACACACACACACATATCTTCTAAGCCGATTCTCCTTCTGGGTTGCGGGGGGTGCTGGAGCCTATCCCTGCTGTCATCAGGCAGAAGGCAGGATACACCCTGGACAGGCCGCTAGTCCATCACAGGGCAGGGTTAGAGACTCATCATCCACAAAACTTCCGATCTGATAAAAAAAATCATAGCCTGTTACAACTACTGTAGACAGAACTGTCTAGCTTTGCCTACTATCACCATTACCTCCACTTCCATAGAAAGCCCTGATACTGTTAATGCCATTCAGATCCCAGAAGTGTTCACAGATCTGTCAGAGGCCTTAAGCAAGGTCATTGTTACTATGCTGCCACCACATTGCACCTATGACGTTGCAATAGACCTTATTAGCTACCCTTCCTATATCCACAGTGTATCCCCTAACTTTATAGTAAAAGAAAGCTATGGAGGAGTGTATCAATGAGGCACTAGCTCAAGGCTTTATCTGCCCCTCTAAATCTCCCTCAGCTTCAGTAAGTCAATAATGTCACCAAGAAATTTGCATATCCATTTCCGCTCATTCCTTTCACCCTTGTGCAGCTCAGAGGTGCCTAGTTTTTCACCAAATTAGACCTCGGCAGTGCCGACAATTTGATAAGAATCAGTGAAGGAGATGAATGGAAGACTATGTTTGTGACCTCTAGATGTCACCACGAGTGCCTGGTCATGCCTTTCAGCCTCTCTGACGCCCCCACTGTCTTTCAATCTTTTATGAACAACATCCTATGTGACATGATTGGGAAGTTTGTTACAGCACATATCGATGATGTCCTGGTATATTCCCCTGATCTAGTAACACAAATTCTGCATATTGGCCAAGTACCTAGCAGGTTACTAGACAATCAACTGTTTGTGAAAGGAGAAAAATATGAATTCCACTTACAGACCGTTTCTTCTTCTGGGTTATGTAATTAGTGCTACTGGGGTTGTCATGGATGACCACAAGGTAGAGGCTGTGGTTCACTGGCCTGTCACCACATCATTGAAGGAACTACAAAGATTTTTAGGTTTTGCTAACTTTTATTTTAGGTTAATTCAGAACTTAAGTTTTTATTGCCACACCCTTACTGCTCTTCTTAAAAGAGCCCTGAAAAAGTTATGTTAGTGTTCTGAGGAAGACGAGGCCTTTTCCACACTTAAAACTGCTTTCACTACTGGCCCCATTCTCAGACACCCATTGTTGCCTTTTGTTGTATCAGAATCTGGAGTTGGTGCACTTCTATCACAGCATAGCAGGGATCCTTCTAAACTTCATAGCCTTTTATTTACATAAGCACTGGGATGAGCTCCAGCACCCCCCAGTGACCCAGGAGGATGACTGTGTGCTGGTACTGGCTTTGGATGTGTGGGAGGCATGGTCATGCGTGAAGCACCACTGGAAGGATAGTATTTGCAGTCAAAGACACTTTGAACACAGAATAATGTGAATGTGAATAAAGTTGTTGGTAGTGTGAAGCTGTATACATGTGGTTACATTGCCTTGTTGTGCTGGGCTATGAACCTGGTTCAATAGGTTTGGTGGTCACCATGGATTACTCTGCTTCACATCTGCTCAGTACTGTGGAGCAGTGGGCCCCCCTGCTGCTATACTTTTTGATACTGGCACTTTGAGAAGTTTTTCTGTTGTAATCTAATTTCTGAAAAGTATTGCTTAGCAAAATTTCCGTTTGTATAGATCATTTGTGGAACTCAAACAACAACTAAAAATAAAAATCAATAATATAACAGTACTATAATCACAATAACATACTTGAGGCTGCGTTATACCACAACATAGTGGCACTGGTGTGCTGACCTATTGCACAACTGCAGCACACCAGTACCAAAAACTCATGATGCAGCACTACCTTGAGTGCAGTGTGATTACTCAAATCTTTAAGGATAGTAGACTGCAAGGACTGGGTTTATTAAATAGCTGCAGGAGAATTTACTGATCAAACATCAAGGGTCAAAAAACAGCATTGTTACTTGTATCTATGCTTTAATTTGGGCCTGTATTTGCTTCACCTTGCCCCTAATTATGTGCCCTTGATTATCATCATGTTTTAAACAGTTTGGATTCACTGTGAACAGATGAAAGATTGAAATGTTTATGTATTTCTATATTTTATAGACATGTTTAGGGTTAAAAATGATAATAACAGCACTTTTTAATGCATTGTGTAAAGCAGCGAGTACAGAGTACATCCACACTTTATTAATACAATCAAATGATTATTTTAAAGAAAACACACTATTTGATCATTTCAGTGACTAAATATATTTCACTAGTATTGACAAATATATAGAGCAAAACAGCTACATATGAATCAGTCAGAAGAACCGTTTAAACTCTATGATGCTACTAAATGACCACAGCAATAGATTTAAACTGATGTGGAAGAGTTATTTGTAAGCATCATGTAAAACTTCAGAACTGTTTTTTTTTTCCTTTCAGTTCATTTCTTTTACTGGAGCTTGCAAAGCTGTTTTTAGGTGTGGGTTTCACCATATTAAGAAAAAGCAGAACAAGATTTAAACATGATATCCATATACAGTATGGTAAGACGCTTGATTACTAAGAGCAATTAAAGTCAAGTAACATGACAAGGAATGAAAGCGTGTAAGAAAAAAACAGTTATAATTATGATCCACAGCATCATACTGAAGAAAATTATATTTAATTTTAGAATATACATTTCTACATGCTGTCTAGTTTACTGTATGATACAAACAAAATAATCAGAGTTTCTAGGCATAACAGTGAATTCAGCCTTGAGTTACACATGCTCAGATAAATTCTAAACCTTAAAGCTTAGATAAATTAAACCTTGCTGACGAGGATTCCAATATTCTACAAGTTACAATATGCTTAGCTGATTTTCTGAACCATGGATAGAAAATGGCATACATAATTGGATTCATGGAGGAGTTAATGTATATTAGCCAGCCAAACACAGTCCACACCATTGACAGAGAGGTCAAGCTTTCGAGTGAGAGAGAACTTAAATAGTAAGGTATCCAGCAAGCAAGATAAATGAAAATTAACGTGCCTAATTTTTTTGCTGCTTTGGCTTCAGAAGAGCCTGAAACTTTGGCTCCATGTGTGTTTGAGGCACCATTTATCACAGCTCTAACTGCTTTAGCTTGATGCCTTGCCACATGAAAAATGACTGAATACAAGATGAGTATAATAGAGCAAGGGACTAAAAATGTCAATACTAGGTCAGTGATTACCCAAGAATAGTTTATGACCAGGACACACTCTCCATAACACCGATAGGTTAACTGAGACTGAAGGAAATGGTCATTAAAGTACAAAAATATGATGACATAGGAAAAGGCAAAGGACCATCCTACAAGTATCAACAAGGTGCTTTTACAAACTGTCATTTTAGTAGAATAAAGTAGAGGGTCACAGATAGCAATGTACCGATCAACTGCAATGAATATCAAGCTATAGAGAGATGCTAACAATGAGATAGTGTTGATTATTGGATAAATATAGCATGTTATTTGTCCAAGATACCAACAGGAGTCTATCAATTGCATTATATTCACAGGCATAACAAACAGTCCCACGAGAAGATCCGCCACAGCCAGAGAGAGGATGAGCAGGTTGGTTGGTGTGTGGAGCTGCTTGAAGTGAGAGATGGAGATGATCACCAGCAGGTTCAGAAACACAGTGCACACAGATATGCATGAGAGAAAAATGAACAAAAATACGTTCCCAGGGCCTGTTCGCACCTCCTTTCTGCAAGATGAGTTGTTGTCAGGAAAGCAGTATTGAACTGTGATGTTTTGGCCGTAGTCTGAGTTATTCATCTGGAATAGACACAAATCTGCCAACTGGAACTGATCCAACTGTAATGTTCAGTAATACTGAACTGAAAGATCTGCCTTCTGGCATGTCTCTTTATACTTCAGTATGAACCATCCCACTAACCTGTGAGTGGCTAGTTTGTCATTACATCATTTACTTATCTAATATTCAAAAACACATTATTACATACAGTGTAATACAC